CATTCACAAATGTGTTGCAGACCAGTATTCCAAGGAAGCATGGTGTGGGAAAGGACAGAGTGTTAGGAAAAGATGTTTTTAGATTTATTTATTTGTAATGCAGAGTGAGAGCGAATGAGAGAGAGCACTATTCTCTATGCTGGTACACTCCCCAGGGATGGGCCTGGCCAAGCTTGGAGCTAGGACCCCCAGCCTGGTCTCCCACTTGGACGGCAGAGGCCCACGTACTTAGCGCATGGAAAGCAGCACAGCTCAGTCCCCACACCAGTACCCCAGTGTGCTACTCACCTCAACACTGACCACAAGAATTTTTTTTTTTTTTTTTGCACACTAGCTGTCTCTACTTGAATTCTGATTCCAAGAGATAGGGGAAAGAGTTGGCAGTGACACGATTCACAAATTCTACGAAAGAGAGGTTATGAACACACCCTTGTGCATTGAATGGCACGTATTTTAAAAGGAATCTACAGGACTATTTTACTCAGAGGAAAAAAAAAAAACTTTTACATACAATGCCATATCACCCCAATGTTAGCTACTTCTCCGCCAGAAGGGTGAATATGTTCTGCTGTTTTTCTCTGTACACTGCTTTTTATTAGGATGAGGAAAAGGTCCTAGGAAAGGTTTCACCTCATTCTGCATTTGTTACAGATTACTGATCCTGGCTTTCCTGGGATCCTGCATGCAGCTTGCTCATATTTCATCGCTCTGCTTCACAGTGGCCTCCAAATAATTCTCATTTTTCTTCCCATCAATACCAAAAATAAATCATTCTCAGGAAGAATTATTGAAGATTCTTTTGAGGAAAGGCCCATGAAAAAAATTCATCAATCATTGCTTGACACCTGTCACCACCTTAGCTTTCCTCTTATTTTCTCAGCTCCTTGCTCCTATAATTTAAGCAGACAATAAAAACATTAAAAATATATGATAACATGGCATGCAGGTGCCAAAACTGTTGCTTTTCTTTCCAGTAGGAACTGCACAATAAGCTGCAATGTTTTCACATAGTACAATCAGAAATCAATGTTTAAACTTTCTTTTTTGAAGGGCATCAAAAATAAAACAATGATTCAAATGTTTACGCTTGGAGGTTTAATGCAAGAACTGTAGAAGCTACTTCTGAAAGATTCTAGACTTACAGTTATAAATTGTGAGCAAAATAGTTAAAAAATATTTTGCCTTATTTTGTAGATGCTTTAGATTAAAATATGAATCAGTGTAAGTTAGAACACCAATAATTTATTTCATTTTATTATATTAAATATACTTGAGTCTTATGAAAGCAAAACGTGTTCATTTTTAACACTCTTTAGATTTTATCCTTGTGTATATTTTTTGTAAAAATTATTCATAGAAAATTTTAGTATAAGGAATTCACATTTCTATGTTATTATAAAATATACTTTTAATCCCATAATCTCTTCTACTTTGCACATGTGATTCATGATTTATTGTCTCTAAAATTTGAGTTATTTAAAGAACTCTTTACTATTTGCAAGTGTGAAAATGAGTATGCATTTAATATTTCAGTTAATTGAAAGTGGGAATAATTTCCATTTGGAAAAACTGTATAATTTATTCACAATTTAAGGCAACTTCTGTGTAAATTAACACATTATAAAATACAAAAATATATTGTTATACATAAAATTATAGAGTGATTTAAATCCAGGTAAAGCATCTCTGTGCTATTAACACAGTTCAGGTCATTTAAATTCTCCTTCAACAACTAAAAGAGAAATTAACCAATTACAATCCTGCCATTGAAAAAGAAAGTGGAGGACGGGGGAGGCTTGTATCCTAACCCAGGACACTCCCAGATCCTCACCAAGGACTATCAGTACGGGCACCAAATGCCAAGGAGATCACAAGAAATTGGAGTGCCCTTGTAGGCCGAGAACTCTGAGGTCAACAATTCCCTATCAGATCTCCCATACCGGATGGAAGAAGCCCAGATCCTTCCTCACAGGATTTAATGTCATCGAAACAACAGCCAGGAACCCTGAGCAGTCCCCAGAAACAGAACAGTAAACTTCCTTTGGGACTCGGGAAAGGAGATTTCTTTGGTCCTTACCTAGTTCCAAATTTGGCTCCCCACCCTCTCTTGCAATGACCATCAGGGTTGCTCCAGAAATCCAAAAATTAGATCAGATAGACAGACAGAGACCAATAAGGAAAGGTTAGAACAGGTTAGAAAGGTTAGAACAGACAGGAAAAAGCTTGGACTCCCAAATACCTCACTAGGTAGGACACAAAGATCAGTTACTCCTCACTAAGGTATCGAAGATTTCTCTGCACACCCCTCCCAAAACTGTTCTGTTCCTCAGTTGTTCACATATGGCCTGTTAGAGCTGTAAGCCTGTTTGCACTATCCTAAAATCCGCATAATTCAGTAGAAACCACGCTTGAATACTATAAGCTGCTAAATATAAAAATGAAAATAGACACAAGACAGCTGAATAGTACCCTATAACCATTTTTAGATTCATAGCAGCCGGTTGTGTATAAACTAAAATTGAGATGTCAATGGAGTAGTCACAGGATGTGGTTAAGAACTTGGATTTTCTAACATATTGGTCACTCAATACCATGTCAGTTATTTTGTAAATTTCCATGTTTCTTCCTGTTGTTGAAGTTGTGCAGAGGCTTTTCATTGGAGGGGATGATATTCTGCCAGCTCTACTTTCAGACCAAGGATGGTCTCCCAATGAAACTATTGAATTTATCTGGACAATAAGATGCTAGACTCTCTGTATGGTCCATGCCCGCAATGAAGGAATCATGACTGGTTATGAACTGCACTACTGCAACATTGTGGAGGAATCTAATATGAGGGGAGGGGATCGGAAGGGGTTGAGGGAATCCCAGAGCCTATGAAACTGTGTCATAAAATGAAATAATAAAAAAATTTTAAAAAAGAAAAAAGAAAGTGTTTAAACAGAGTTTTATAAACTTTTTAAGAATCGCTTTTTACTTAGTCTTTATTTAGTGAGTCTCTAAAGTTCAGCAGGTACACAGAGATATTTGGGAACTAGAAATATAATCCACAGTTTCTCATCTTCCAGGAGATTTCATTAAGTGAAACTTCTTCAGCAAAGGCAAGAAATGAAGCTTGCTTCAGTAACCAGAGCCTCCCAGTTGCAGAATATTTTGATTCAATTAAATATAGTGAGGCGTTGGTGTATCTGGTCAACCCCAGCCCAGGGTTCCTATGACCACATGATCTTCAAATTTCACTGCAGAATGGCAGAGCAGTTACGTCAGCTGAGCACGCTGCTCATGACAGCTCGTCCCTGTAGGGGGCACTAGAATTCCTGTGACTGTCCATCACTTAATGGGTGGGACACAGAGTGTAGAGAGCACGAGGCTCTCGCTCCCAAATACTTTGAAAAGAAACACTGATTTCCCGATTTTCAAATTCTGAAGACAATTCAAGATTCTTTGAAGTGCTCAATCTCAAACATTCCGTGAGCTTCCAAGTATCACAAGAATTAGTTTGATAAACTATTGGCTCCTATTTTGATGTAGTTATGACATGTCTGTATTTATGATACGTGACTTGATGTTCTGAGCATAACTTATATTTACACGAGGAAGCCATTACAGAGCTAACGACCTAACAAACAAATCCATTTTGATTTTCTTAAATTCCTTAATCTTGATTTCCTTTACAGACTGAGTAAAAGGAGCCTGGAAACTGGAGGTGCAGAAACAAGTACTACCAACAGTGAACGGAGCATAGAAGGAGAAGATACGTGGAGAAACAGGTTAGCAAAGTTTATATTAATCACATACGTCAGCATCTTGCACAGACACTTGCACAGACACACCTTTTGCAGACACCTGTATAGTTTATGAATATTGTATACAGAAAAGCATGCTTGAGACACGTATCTTCTAAACTATTTTTTTCACATAAAGTGAACAAATTTTATACTGGAGAATTTAATACTTCAACGGTCCTTTTTTTTTTTTTTCTAATCCTTAGAAGGAGATGAAATGAACAAGCTAAAAGCAGTGCTGCCAGTGTGTCTTACGGGAGAAGCTAATTTTTATTTCTGAGCATATATGTGTGTTGTGAAAACAATTATTTAAAACAGACATTGAACTCTGAAAATATAATGACTGTGCAAGAAATAAACTGTTTTCAGCTATGAGTAATAACTATAATCTATTAATCATCCTTTTATTTTTTGCAATGTTGAACTGTATATATTCTCAAGATTGTTACAATTTCATATTTTAGATAACAATGTTTTCCAGGGAGAGCACATATAAACAGCCAAATAATGACTCATATATCAAGCTAGAGCACTCACACACATTAGCATCCACTTAAGAACATGAATCCTTTATTAGGTTCAGATGTATTCTGAACACGGCTAACAAAATATAAAATCATTTCAATTAATTAGCAAGATATAGAAACTTTAAACGACGATATGTGGAAATTCTCTCCATTTTAACAAAGTGCTTTTCTTGAGGTTTGAGATAGTAGAAACTGTTGCTTTTCTCATTTGTGAATACAAAGAGAAATGGAAAACACCAACAAGTCTTTTCACAGAGTGTACGGAGCTTATGTCAACCTACCACATTTGTAATGCAGTTTTCTATGATGCAAGAGTCTTATAAAACCATTAAATATATTATAATTATCAAGCCATGTCCAAATGAAAATCCTTTCCGTTTTAGCGGTAACAGTCTCTCACATTACTTTTTAGGAAAGAAACGAGTACGAATTGTAATGACAACTGGGACAGTACTAATCCTAACGCTAACACAAAACAATCGCAGTCTCAGCGACACTTTTAGCCATTACGATGATGACGGACAACTACAAGTGATTATTGATAAATTAAGGCTCATCAAGCAGAAGCGACAAGGTGGAACGATGTTTACATCAAACATGAGCTTTTGTTTCTCACAACTAGCCCTCATGACTTCACAAAACCATTAAATTACACTAGGATTTTAAACAGCTGGAATTTCACACCTACCTCACATGTGTGATAATGAGTGTCGTGGTGGGAATGAAGAAATCATCCACTCTGTCGAACTGCTTTCCCACTGGCTGAGTATGGATGGTGTGATGAGGCACGTTCCCGCTGGCCTGCGTGATCACCTGGACAGGACACACTTTTTAGGACTCAGAGATTCAACAGAAACCACTGTGAACTCTACTGCCATCCTCCAACGTGGTGCAATGTCACACAAACTGCACTACTAGAACCGTTTTGCTTTTTATTTAATACAGAAAGCTGTCCTATAAGTAAATAAAAAATACATGTATCTTGAACAATTCCTGTTTAAAACAGCAGATGTATACACATTTAAAATTGTTAGTTCAGTGCTTATCTTGCCTTATTTTCTCATGATGACAACATTTCATCATGAGAAAAGCAAAAAAATAATAATGCACATGCTCTCCGTGATCTAGAAACTGCCAGAAGAAACACAGTAGCTTTAAAAAGTTTTGGAGCACATACAAAAAAGTCATATTTTAAAACTTTTTAAAATGAATTCAAAATGACTTTTAGGGAGTTTTAATCAAAGGGATTTCCTCTTTCAACACTAATTGGCTTTAAGCCTTTATAGTTCGTTAAAGAAAAGTTCACTCCATTGGAACTCTTTTATTCCTCATCTCCAATTCTACTCAAAATTCTCTCGGCTCTTCCACGCCCATGTTCCCTTTCATTGTCCTTGTCACAGAACCGCTGTTCTGCGTTAACCTTTCACAAGTCCCTCCTTGCTGCCTTCGACATTTTCCTTTTTCAAATACTTTGTCCATTTGGTCACAAAATTAACTTCCTGAACTTTTGACCTTCCTTTCTCTTAGTTGAATAGCAATCCTCACGAATCACATATGTCCCTTTAGTCCTTTTGACAAAAACTCACAGTGTTTTTAATTTTTTTGTAGGATTTGCTTTTTTCAAAAAGGGTACTTCTTCATTCAAATTCGTGTGTTTTCACTGATTTCCATTGGCAATTACAATGTCCTCTGAAACTAAATTATGCTGACAGTATAGGATAATTTATGCGGGAGTTGAAAAACAAAGCAAAAGCAGAAATATCGTGAATGACTTAAGTGGCTTGGAAATCCCAGATTCGTTTCATCCACGTCTCTCTACCAGCAGGCTCTGGTTGGACAGAAGCTGCTTCCCGCTGCATTCCAAGCTCAGCGAACAAGTGCTTATCTTGTGTGTTTCCATTTTCAATGCATCTCATTTGTCAGAGCCAATTAAATGTGTCTGCTTTACCAAATGAGGTTGCCGTGTTTCCAGAGGAGTGAAGAACCAAGATACAATTTTGAAAACTTTAAAGGGCATTCCATCTATTTTATTGTGAAGCATATCAGAAAGAAAGTTATCACTGAATCTTAGACATCCATAAGGTCTACAGTAATCCAGTCAATATCAGCGGGCGCAATGGGACATGAACCGCACGAGTCTTCCTCCCTATAGGGTGTGTAGAATTGTGCAAATCACAGAAACACTTTTATGTACTGGAAATCAAAGATAATGGCTTAACCATGGCAATCATGATACTGGGTGGGAGTTTGTTGTTGTTGTTACATATGCCAGTAATGAGCTAAATCATTCATAGCCATCACACATGTAAATATTCAAATAGCACAATAATGTATATGTTAAAATCCCAGCTTTACTGATGGGATGTTTACTCATCCCAGTAAACCTATATTTGCTGAGCCTCTCCTAGGTTCTAAGACAGATCTGCCTTTCCCCAACCTCTCCTCAGTGTGGACTTTGTTCTATGTTTTTCATATTGCCAGAATTGAGTAGATCGTGATAAATTGTGAGGGAGGGAGAGAGAGAGAAGAAGACAGAGTTTTACCATCTATGGTTTGTTGTCTAAAAAGCTACAGCAGGTACAGCTGGGCCAAAGCCGAGAACCAGAGACTCAATCAGGAACCCAGACACTCCAATATGGATATGACTGCCCCAGGCAATATGTTAATCACTGTGCCTTAATGCCCGTCCCTGGGAATAACTTTTTTATAATTATAATTATTTTAATTTTGAATTTATGGTAATATTCTATAGAGTCTAGGATTCTCCCCCTCACCAAAGTTCTCACCCCTAGACTGCCATGCTGGGCCCAGTCATGGGCTTTTAGAATGCAAATTAGCAGAGAGGACATTTTGGTCTCTGTCTATAACTCTTTCTCTTCCTGCTTCCTAAATAAATGATTCTTAAAATAAATTATTTTTGTATGTTAACGTATTTTAAAACTATCAATTTGAAATGCAGAGTAACAACAGAATACAAGGAGAGGCTTTCCAACCGCTGGTTCACTCCCCAAATGTCTGAAATAACAGGTTGTCCTCGTTGGAGCTAGAACTAGGAACTCTGGCCATCCTGTGTTCCTCTCCCCGGTGTGTTAACAGGAAGCTGGATAGGAAGAGGAGCAGCTGCAACTCTCTCTTGAACTGACACTTCAATTTAGAATGCTGTTAGAGTCAATCAAAAATCCACTCTGACCACCAGTCACTAAGCTATGTTTAATCGTAACGACAACAATATTACACAAAGCTTTGTACTCCTTTTTAACAAAACTATTTTTAGGGGATTATATGACAGTGTAAGATGTTAACCTGCTGCCTGCAATACCAGCATCCCCTCTTGGTGGTTTTTGTGTCTCAGCCGTTCTACGTCTCATCCAGTTCTTTGAGAATGCACTGGGAAAGCAACAGCTCAAGCCATTGGGCTCTGTGGCTGGAAGGTGCCTTGACCTTAGGACATTCTTTACTGCTTTTTTGGGAGTATTAGCAGGGAGCTGGAATGGACTTGAACCTGCCAGCCCGAAGTAACAGCTGCATGGGATAATGGTTTTATATAGGCAGAGCCTTCACCTGGTGTACCACCACAATGTTGGTCCCAAGTTCATAAAGAAATACAAAATCTCAAATCATTTGGTGCTATTCCTCTCTTACGATTGGAATGGTAATAATTTCCCGTTTATTAAGACTGTGCTTTTTCACTACAGGAGTTTGGTTCTATCAACCCATCCTCTTGCACCTGGGAAAACAATGGCACTGTTTTGTTCTGGAACCTCCTGCTTAGCAAGCCTTAGAATATCCACTATCCTGCAATCTGAATAAATCAGGTAATAGTACCAGCTTACAACAGCCATATGGATGGCTGAGCACCACAACCAGACCCCAGGCAGGAGGAGGAAACCTCCATGCTATCCAGCTGTGATGAGGCCACTGGTACAGCATGATTGCTCCCACCTGATACCAGCACCATGGCTCAGAAGTCAAGTCACAGAGCTGTGACGTATGAATATTTTTTACCCTTGTTTGAAATATCAAGTTTTATAGAAACAAGAAAGAACAGAAACAACATGTTTTAGATGCCTCAAAAACCATCTACCCCTAATGCCGATAAATTAAAGTATCAATATGGTATGTAATTGCAATAGTCAATCACAGTTGATCTGTCACTTATGAGTAAATATTGTATTGCTGTGGAAATGCCTCAGCTACATTAAAGTCTTATCAGTGGCAAATAACTAAACTGTCATTACAGAGTAAACCGAACCTTTGTTATTGCAGGTCTCCCCCTCTCCATTGGTATCTTAAAGATCCTGAGGAAATTTGGGGGATGCAATGCTATAGTTTCAATGTGCTAACCTCAATGCTGTGGTGTTAGGAGGGGAACGTTCCAGAAGTGTCCTTGTGAATGCACTAACGCCTTCACACATGTCTTAGCTACAATGGTGAGATCTCTCAGTTATACTTTGTCAGTCTTGCCAGCCACTGTTGGGATGAGCTAAGGAGGTCCTCCATTGGCCCCACCAACCTCGGAGTCCCAGCTTCTAGTCCTGAGATCAAAACACGCCTCTGTTCTCATAAAGCAACAGAGACCTGACCAAGACAGGTGCACAATGACTGTTTCTCTAACACCTTTAGCATTGTCCTCCTTGGTCATTCTTTCTGTGTGACATTAATAAATGTGACCTATAATTTCCCCATTCAAAAAAAAAAGTAATTCAATAGCAACTTCTTTTTAATTCTCTCTCTTTCGAAATAGAGACTTGATTGACAGACAGTAAAATGTCATTGTTAAACGGACATAAATATCAAAGCAGACGTGTCATTTTCTCATCTCTACAGAGATATACTTACCTGCAGAGTGGGTGAAGTCTTATCCATGGAGCCCCAGCTTAGCACCCAGACCTGGTCGTGCGATTTGTCATAGTGCAGTTTAACTGGAACAGGATCTGTGCTCACTGCCTACAATAAGAAACGGTTGGGGAAAAAATGCATTTAGCTTGAAACATTAGTCTAAAATTAGGTTTAAAACTATGAAAGCTTGCAAGAATTTTCACGTCAGGTTAAATATTTGTTTTTCATACTAATTTTCCAAACACTTTTGATTAAGTTGAAAGCATATTCTACTTCCAGCATTTTATCGCCGAGTTCCACAATATTATTAATTTTAAACACTCATTTGTCACCTACAGAAATTTGAAGCTAAAGGGAAGGCATTTAGAAATTGAAGACATAAAAAATTAAGATGCTCGTTTTACTCAGATATTGGATTTAGGTGAGAAATACGCTTATCCAGTTAGTTATCTACCACCCTACGCCCATTTATGAGACTTGTTTATCTATAATGTTTAAATGCCAACAACATGATATATGATTGTTAACTGCAGAAATGAATTGCCTAATTTAATTTCCTTAATGAGAAATCTAAAACCACAGAAACAAAAGGAGGCACTATTTTTTACATCATGCTTGTATACTAGAGTAAATGAGCTTTTCTGCTAATATTTATAATATTTAGCATTTACTTATAAACAACACACAGAAAAAAAATATTGCTGCCAGGAAGTTATTTTACTTACCTTAATTTCAAGCTATTTATTTTAGAAGCTAATGGCTTTGGAAGGTAGTTACCTGTAGTAGTTACTCAGACACGTTTTCTAATTTTGTAACACAAAATAAATTGTATTCAATAAAACAACCTGTAGCCAATAATGAGAGACGTTCTTCCCAAAGCATAGCTGAGTATTCTAAGAGAATTCTCTAAACCCTTAATTCATTATAGAATGTTCTTCCCAGTGGACTGGTAATAGGAAAACCATAACTGCAGTTGAATATGTGAAAATTTGTATTTTAACTTGAAAGTTGGAAAATTATGCTTTCTAATGTATTTCTTCAAAAACCATGATTTTCACCTACCAAATACATATCACTTTCAAAAGCCTGATTTTCACCTACTTAAAATTCTTGATGTTGAAGCATAACTGAAAGTGATTATTGGATTCTTTTTTAAGATTTATTCTTTATTTTTATTGAAAGGCAGATTTACAGAGAGATAGAGAGAGAGAGAGAGAGAGAGAGAGAGAGAGAGAGAGAGAGAGAGAAATCTTCCGTCCGTTTGCTCCCCAAGTGGCCATAATGGCCAGAACTTATCTTATCTGGAGCCAGGAGCCAGGAGCTCCCTCCTGGTATTCCATATGGGTGCAGGGTCCCAAGGCTTTGACCATTCTCCACTGCTTTCCCAGGGCACAAGCAGGGAGCTGAATGGGAAGTGGAACAGCCTGGACAAGAACCAACTCCCACATGAGATTCTGGCGCTAAGCATGGAGGAAATCAGCCAATCAACCATTGTGCTGGCCCAACTGGACTCCAAATATTTAAAACATTGACAAATACCAACCCCTTCACATGGCACATACAACATTCTCCAGTAAAAATGTTTTTGGCATTATATCTGAGAATATATCACAATCCATCCCAAAAATATTAATAGCAGGAGCCTTTTACCTCAATTGCTTCTGATGTTACTACCTGGAGATAAAAAAAAGCTTCAAATTTCCAAACCCATTTTGAAGCTTTGAAACTACAGGATTCAAGAGGGAAAGCTAATCATTTGAGAATTTAGCAAGAGAAAAGTAAAACTGAATTATTGATCACTAAGTTGCTGCATGAATCTAGAACAACTAACACTAGCGTAAGTGTTGCTATGGTGATAACATACCTATACTGCTATGGGGACAGTTCATCTGGTGTTCTGTTTACTGTATTTGAATGAATATATTCAGTTACTCATACCTGACAAAGGAATTGATATTAATAAGTATACGAGGGGCTGGGTTAGGGTGCAGTGAGTTAAAACCTAGCTTGTAACCCCAGTATTGCAGGAGTCCTGGCTGCACCACTCCTGATTCCGCTCCTAGCCGAGTTATCTGGGAAGGCACCTGATGATAACCCTCGTACTTTGGCCCTGCAACCAACATGGGGCTCCTGGATGGGATCTCAGCTCTTGCCTTGGACCTGGACCAGGTCCAGCAATTGTATTCATCTCTCCCGGTCCCTTTCTGTCACTATTTTAAACAAATAAAGAAATATTTAAAAATAAGCACACTAATTATAAAGCAATAGGATAATTTGAGGTTTCATGTTTTTCTTCTGTATAATAATTTTGATTTATGTGTCATTAAAATAGACTATTTGTTTAAAATTAAATGACTGGGCTTTGTGCAATACCCTAGTGACTAAACCCTTGCCTTGCATGTTCCAGAATCACCAGTGCAGGGTCCCAAGGCTGTGGGCCATCCTCGACTGCTTTCCCAGGCCACAAGCAGGGAGCTGGATCAGAAAATCATTGACTTCTCTTTAAAAAATATGAATCCAAAGATCTGCAAAAGGTTTGAATATTTTGTGTTTCAGCATTCCAAGGGGCTGGTGCCTTGGAATATTCAGATGTGGTGTTTAGCTCTAAAATTTATCACATCCAAAACCAACATGCAGGTCACAATGAAGAAAATCAATATGATAGTTTGAGAAATTTTAAATCTTAGGAAATGTCTATTCATGCATTCAGGTGCAATATGGCAGGTTTCTAGCAAAAGAATCATATAATAATGCTAGACATATTTGTAAGTGAGCATTTGGGGGGATTATCTTTTCCTAACCTATTTAAATGAAAAGTAGGCAGCTTTCCACTTACACCACCAGCTTGTATAAATACGTGTTAGATTTCACAAATGTAGGTTAGGATGGTGAGTATACGCTGTGTTATATGACCATTTACTATACAGATATAACCAGATCTCCAATATTACTCCATATGCTATTTATGTACGTGAATAGATATACACTTTAAATATAAATAGATGACTTAGCCTTCGTTACATGGATCATCTTTCACATTTCATACTTTGCACACACTGCACTCTGGACACCACTGCCCACCTTGCAGTCAATATCGGTTTAATTCAAGATCATTGATATAGCTAAGACAACTGTGGAACAAGGGATTGGGAAAAATCTTTGGTTATGAGTGCACCTTTCACCAAAATATTAACTTACACTAAAAGTTCATTTCCTGTTTCTTAATTTCCATATGAGTGACAATAATATACTACTCAAAAATAAGGTTTAAAATGAAATATAATAATATAATAGTGGTTGAATTTTTAGTTATTGTAGCCTTTTTAACCCTAAAAGATGCTGATTAAAGCATTTAAAATATTTTTTAAAAATATTTATTACTCATTCAGTGGCCATTATATTCAGAACTGGGCAGGCTTCAGCCAGGAGCCAGCCTTCAGTTCTCTGGTGTAGGTGGCGGCAGCCTAGACATCTGAGCCATCTTCTGCTGCTTTTCCTGCGTCATTAGCAGGAAGCTGCATCGGAAATGCAGCTGCTGGCGCAGTGGCTGACACTCATAAATGGTGCTGGAATAGCATGTGGTGGATTTATGTCCTACACAATATCAGTCCCAAGAAATACTTTTAAAATGGTAACTATACACTTCATCTGCACTCTGGATTTATGTATTATAATGTATTAATATTAATTTATTATATATCATATATAATATAGATACACTTTCTGAACCTCTCTATTAATTGATGTGTGAATCTATCATGAAGGTGTGCAACAGCTAAAAGGATTTTACAAAGCATGCTACACTGCTCACAGACTAATTATACCAACTTCCGAGGAGATGGCTCATTTCGTAAAGATGAAAGACTTGCAGGAACCACAAAGGCACGGATCCTCAGGACTTGATGTGGGCACGAAGGGACCCAGAAGCACAGCTTGTCGATCAGCCGGACAGGCCAGCACCAGCTGGCTAATGAAGTGGACCTAATTTAAACTAACGATGTGGACTCTCGAGATGATGTGCTAATGGCTGGCGGAGCCTGCTGATGGTACTTAACAATGTTCCCACGGTGTTACTATAAGACACTTCTGCATCCAAGACGATCAGAACTAAGGTCAGCTGTTTAGTTGTTCTTTTATACGAAGAAAAAAAAAGATTCTCTATACGATATTCCCCAAAGTTTTAGAGATAAGAAAAATGATCAACGAAGTCATTTGATGTTGAAGGTGGTACAAGAAGATATTAGGTCAGTGTTGAAGTGCTGTGGATTGAGCTGCAGTCTGCAAAGGCAACAACCATCGTGGGCAGCAGTTCAAGGCTGGATACACAACTTATCCAGCTCCTGCCTCATGCACCTGGGAAAGCAGCAGAAAATGACCCGAATATCCAGGGCCCTGCCGTCCAAGTCAGAGACTTGGTGAACCAGAGGATGGAAGCCATTCTTTCTCTCTTCCTCTACGTTTCCAACAAGTAAGTTAATAAATAAATAAATTTTGTTTTAAAACAAAATATATCTTGGGTTCGACACTGTAGCCTAATGGCTAACTCCCTGCATTACATGTGCCGGGATCCTATATGGGCAGGAGTTCCTATTCCAGCTGCTCCACTTCCCATCCAGCTACCTGCCTGTGGTCTGGAAAAGCAGTCAAGGATGGCCCAAAGCCTTGGGATCCTGCACCTGTGTGGGAGGCCCAGAAGAGGCTCCAGGCTCCCAGCTTCAGATCGACTCAATTCCAGCCTTTATGGCTCTGTATATCTGCCTTACCAATAAAAATAATTAAATAAATAAATCTTTAAAAAGTATAAAATAGCATTACAAGGGTATTTGTAATTCAACTGGAAATAGCAAATTGAGAAGGTTAAAATTCACAATGTTTTGTGGATATATGTTTTAGGGTTATGAATAATTTGAAACAAGTACATAAATTTCCAAAGACAAATTCCACACATGCCACAAATTCATTGTCATTGTTTTTTCTATAAAAATACAAGAAAAAATAATATTAATGGAAAGCCCCTGTGAGAAAAATCTTCTTTTCATCATAAAGTTGAGTATGAATCATGAATCACCAGACTGCAATGATGAATACCGTAATGTTTTATGCTGTGCTTAAAATTAGATAATTATTACAAATGATGACAACTTAATAATTGGCTTTTCTAATTAATATTGGCGACTAGTAATACAAATCATAATTGTTTTCGTAAAAGGTCTGAAGGTTTGACAAGAGTCCAATTCTATAGTGACTGAAAATGTGTCAGACTGGAGGCCAAAATTTCCTACCACCATCAGAATATGACTTTGACCCGGTTTGGCTTTGTGTAAAATATTTTACATTCTTCCAGTACTTCATGGTTATAATAAGTGGCTGAAAGTAATACAATTTCTATGATTATATCCATGGCATTTGAACACTTTCTTATCAATATTTTCAACTAATTTTGAACAATGTCATTCTCCAAAGGGAGAATTATACGCACAATGAGGAAAGGCAACATTGCCTGCACTGAATATCTATTAGACAATTTACATATTCAGTAAGGGTGGATCTCTAGTCTGAGAGCTGAATTTAAAGACCAGGCTGTTTTTTCCTACAACATACTTCTAATTTTAACATTTTTTCGAAGAATAATCTCAAGCAAAATAGCTATAATTTGTGCTGGCTCATCTTGCACCTTAAGTAAAAAAAAAAAAAAAAAATCCACCAGCAGCCTGTCATGGAGCAGCTTCTAAGAGAATCAAAGTATAATAAACAGTATTTATATTCACAACAGCAATGGTAGTATTACATTGTATGTTCAGGATATAAGGATCAGTCAGATTGTTCTAGAGGTTTCCAACAGAACAATTATTCATTTTTTGATATTAGAAATTGAGTTATTAGACTGAGTAACTACCAGAAACTTGTAACCCAGAATTTCTAGTATTTCAGAAATTCCTTGTTTGTGTAACCAAATACATCTCAGCACTGAACGAATACAGGATAGGAAGATGAATAACGGGGGGCAGTGAGTGGATGGAATCATACAAAGATATTAACAATTGTTAAAGTAGCCCTACTTTTTACTTTCTCAGTATTTTTTTATTAGCTCTTAAATGTTCATTTCAAGCTAATATTGTTTCAAAAACTCTGTAAACATAACTAATGGCTCGGTTCCAGTATCTTGCAGAAATTTGAGAGTACGCAAGTCTCTTACAAGTTTTAAAAAATAAGGAAGCAAACTTCCAATCATATATCTATTTCTATATTGTATGGAATTCCACAAACGCCCATAGCAGCAAGGGCCGAGCCATTGTCAGAACTCGGTCTAGGGCTGTGACGTGGAAGGAAGGGACTCTTATCCAAGACATGATCCTCTGCATCTCAGGGTATGCATTAGCACAAAGCAAACTGGAATCAGAGGAGCCAAGACTTGAAAGTCTACTACAAATAGGAAACACTGGCATATGAGCAGCATCGTAACTGCTGAGCCAAGCAGCTGCTCCAGGATACAAACGTCTTTGATGAGCCACGAAATACTACTCTCAAATGCCATGATCTGCTATAAATGAATTCTATGCATTAATTCATCTTGTCTTTATCGTACTTTTATAACATGCATAAGGTTTTCTTTTAACTGATTATATATATCTTAAAAAGCTATGCAAAGCCTCTGAGCAAAGAAGCTACAGCTCATTGCAAGCCAAGGGCTCATTCTGCCAGGACACAAACCCTGTATGGGTTCCCCTCATTATTCTGCAGCTAAACTTCAGCAAACTGTAGAAGTTACACAATGCTAGAAACAGGCAGTGCTGAAACAGGTGGCAGTTTAAATGACAAGTGTGAGGTCAAAGAACTGCTGACACACAGACACAGCAATGCTCATCAGGCATTATTTTGTCTTGGTCACTTACCCCCTTGAATATTCATTGTTCTAAACTGGAAAATGATATTAAATAACTATTATTTGGTGATACTAACTCTTTGTTCAGAATAAAGCAAGGAATTATTCTATAACTTAATATCTATCTTAGTTATATACTAGAATATCATTAAATATTAAATATGAGTCCTTATGATAGCTATAGATACCTTTTTTTTTTTAAGGAAATCTTACTTGGTCTCAGGGCCTTTCCTTGATTTGGACTGCATAGGCAGCTGGGAGGCTGACCTATGCAGAAGCAGTTCTGTTAATAATTCAATTTTTAAAGACCTGCTTAAAATTTTTTAAGAGGCAGATTTATAGAGGGAAGGAGAGGCAGAAAGAAAGCTTCTCCATCAGCTGGTTGACTCCCCAAATGGCTGCAAGGACTGGAACTGAGCCTAACCAAAGGCTAGGAGCCAGGAGCCTCCTCTGCTCTCCCATGTGGGAACAGGGCTCCAAACACTTAAGGCACCCTCTGCAGCTTTCCCAGGCCTCCAACAGAGAAATGGATCGGAAGAGGAACAGCTGGGACATGGGCCCAACAGCCATGTGGGATGCCAATGCCACAGGAGGAGGGATAGCTTGCTATGCCACAGGGCCGGGCCCCTATGTTCCTAACTGTTGAAGGCATAGTGAACTACTTTCCCAATTTCAAACGACATGGAACAGTTACTTTCAGAGGCAGACATCATCCATACCTGCACGACTTTTTGGGACTGCACGTCAACGATGAGGACTCTGTCCAAAGTAGGCTGTGCCACATAAATGAACTTGTCCTTCACATTCACAGCTGAGGCCCACACACACCTCTGAACTTCGTCCTTCTCAGCTTTGGGACAGACTTCTTCCTGCAACGTAAAAAAACAGGAAATGAAATCCACAGAGTGAATCACACACCTATACACGCATAAATATGTGTATACATGTGTGAGCGTGTATGTGTACATAAATACACACAGCTAAATTACCTTTGCTGTTTTACAACCATCAGGGTCAAATGTGACATACATATACAAATATGACATATGTGACATATATAGAATATATATGTATATAAAACAGAATGCAGTTGATATGTAAGTTCGTTAGAGATGCATAATTCAATGCAAATGATATTTAAAGTTTAATTTTCAGAGCCTTAGGTACATACTTTTTCACATTAACTACACTTGTTTCCTTGTTGTTGTTATTTGTCTAACTCAGTTACTTCAGAAATACTTAAGAATCTGACTATTCTTCCCCACTGTACTCAGCTGCTCCGAGCACTGGCGGCTAACCCCAAGGCACATTTACTTCTTTCCAAAGCCTGCTGATTCCCTGAAAGAGAAAGCAGCAGTCTTGCAATTCGTAATGATTTACAAACTTAGAGAAATTGTAGATGATATTTTATAATTTTTCAGTCTGTCTAAAGTCTCCCTTACCTTAAACTAAGTAATTTGAAAACCTTATCATGTGAAAAAGACGATGATTAATAAGGGACAAACCATATTATCTGTTCTCTCTTTTCTTGTGATTTGTTGATAGGACATGCTTGAAGGGATACATAAACCTTTTTCATTAATACTGAGAGACATCATTAATAAAAGTACATGAACAATGCCAGTTAGCCAAAGGCTTTTGTTTACGCAGTATTCTATTGGTTTGGGCAAACAACCAACCCAATGTTTTATCAGGCTTATTATTTAGAATTGATAATTATAACTCATAATCATAAACTAATATGTCATTGATTTATACACTCCAGTCATTATTTTGCTAAAGTAGAATGTTCTTTATTCTCTAATTTGTATAAAAATAGTTTTCTTAAGAGACCCCACCCCATATATATATAGTATATGTATATACACATATATTTGTGTATAATGATCACTAGCCAAGATCAACATTTTCCTGACCAACACTGCTAACCACTAATTTTATTTGAACATAGAACTTACAGCACATTAAGCCACAGTATGACATTTAGTATTTACACTGAACACCAAAAAATGTAAAAATCTCTGGAGGTGTTTTTGATTTTCAAAAATTTGGAAAAGAACATAAAGATCAGAGTATTTTGGAACGAAACACGCAGTGCGTGGCTTGCTGCTGTATTCCTCGGAATGCAAATCTAATTCGAGAAAAATCCTAACACAGGCACTCATGAGTAAGAGCCAGTCCAGCATTGTTGGGGTCAGAAATTTACATCAATGGCATCCGTCACAGCACAGGTTGCTCCATGGGAAAACACACTATGCACTCGGGGAATGCATGTGTTCAATCATCTCTGGATTGTGACGTGAACTCACTGAATTCACCGGACATGGCATGAGATACCCTGCAGATCCACCTGAGCAGCATGCCCGTCAGCCTTCTGGAGGCAGAGGAACCAGAGGCTGTCTTGAACCGACACAGTACTCAGCTTTAATCCACTGAGTTCCACAAAAACAATGTTTTCGACACCAGACTTTGCTTCAGAAATACTCCGAATGCACTGAAAAGCACGTTTTTCTTTGTGTGTGTGTGAGCAATAAACATTAAATAAAAGTTGTACTTGAGTGGCATGAAGGAATGCAAAATAAATAAATAAATAAAAGCACAGGACTTCACGTTGACAGAAATCTCTGATTATGGGAAAATTGTCCCCAAACTCTTGGCTGTTGTGTAAAAACTACTGACAAACACTGACAAAATAATGAACAGTGTGAGTGACCTGACCGATAACAGTTAGCAAAACAACTGCTGAAGCAGGAACATTTTCCACCTGCTTGCTTGCTGTAGAGCAGCGCTAAAATAACTGCATTACTGGGACTATTTTCTTTCTGTGCGCTGTCACTATAACACACCTCCAACTGGACTCAACTTCGTTTCTACAAGCCTATTGAGTATTTTCTGACAGTAACCCTGGGTCTATGCCTTCCTTTGTGTCATTATCTCTTTTGATAATAGCCTTCATGTCCCATTTTGGGAAGGAATTTTAATTTTATCAGATGACACAGAATAACATTCATTTCAGTGTAACCCAACAGTAAAGAAACATTTTTCACAGGTATTGTGCATTTGATAAGATAAACTGAACTTTATAAAACTCTCAAAGATGCAAAATAGAGTTTGAGAGATTATATATTGAGCAAGAAGTTACCATAAATAATATTGGAGTATTATTTAAGCACTATTAAGATATTATAATTAATAACAAGGGGAGCCAATAAGGAAAAGACAATTCTATCGCATGATTACCATCTATCTTATAGCTACTGGATGATTTTCACATGTAATCATATATATTCTGCAAATGGCTTAACCTGGCACCAAATTTTCAGACTACAAGACGTATCAGCACGAAATATGAACACACCCAGTTAGTCATCACCTCCTTGCTTGCTATCCCTCAGCAAATCCAACAGAAGACATTGTTACTTATAATACTGATTAGTCTATCAACAAATATCCAAATTCGCATTCCTCCTCCTTTTCTTCTTCCTATTTTGCTGCTCAGCGTGGCCAGCATCACTCACAAAGACAAATGGTATTTAGTAACAGAATCTCCACTCCCCTCACTCCACAAGGCCCTTTGCGTGTCGCCCTCCTCCCACTATTCCCGTTGACACTTCCTGCTTTCAGAAGGATCCACCATGCTTTTGAGTTAATAACTTCAGTTAGGTCTTCAGGTAGTCAAACATGTACGCTGCCCCTAACTTTAACCAAAAACATATAATTTACTAAATGCTATGCATTTTTCAGTAGCCAAGCAGCAGCATTGGTTTTTGCGAAATTATAAGGAGGACATTCTAACTAGAGGACAGGATAATTGTTGGAGAGAAATGCAGGTTGCATTTACATATTATAAGATTATATTAATAATTAATTGCAACTGTTAATATGAACGAAATTCATTGTTTTCCCTTGCAACCATCCATCTAATTCTGTTCGGAGTTTTAAATAAGATTTCTGGTACATTACTTCCATTTCATGGCACTTCACTCTAAACTGCTTACACTTCAAATCGGCTTTCATGGTATTATCTTTACTGAAACATATGTTCAACGTCTCCAGAGGTCTTAGAATTTCCAATTACTGAGGCAGACATTAGCCTCATGGTTAAACGGCCTGTGTCCCACAAGGAAGGGCCTGGTTTACCTCACATCTCTGGCTCCTGACTCCAACTTCTTGTTAATACACTCTAGGCAGCAGTAGGTCTCCAGTGATTGCGTCTTGCCATTCACTGGGGAGATCTTGATTCCACTCCCAGCTCTAAACCTTGACCGTCAAACCCAAACTGTGCTAAGAATGAATCAGTCAATGAACAGTCCCTGGATAGGTCTTCTCTCCCTCACTCACTCCCTCTCTTACTTTGTCTACCAGGCAAAGTTTTTTGTTTTTTAAAGTTAGAGACGGACAATTAATATCCAGTCATTAGTCTTTTTGTTGAGAGGTACTTACTATGCATTTAGTGTATGCAAGATTGTACACACAGAACCATGTTTGAATTATATATGTGTGTGTACATATACATAATTAAATGTTTATTTATACACACACACACACACCTGCTCTCAAACTGCTTAAAATTCCTGCTGAATTTTTGAGCATTTCAGAATCCTGATTCATCAGTACATGTTCTTTCATTTATGTAAGGGAGGAATCAGCAAATAAGGTCCTAAGGATTATCTTGTCAAATTTGGCCTACTACCTATTTCTAGAAAGAGCTAAGATTGTTTGTGGCATTTTGTTTAAAAAAATAATAAAGATTTGCTTTATTTATTTGAAAGGCAAAGCAGCAGAGAGAGAAATAACAGGAAGACAGATATCACACCAACTGTGCCTTACTTTATATTTTCTTACGAACCTTCTGATTAGATGAAGCCAGTTGGTGAGTGGAAGATTTCTGTTTCTGTGTCTCTTCTCTCCCTAACACTGCCTTTCAAATAAATAAACTGTAATAAGCTATCCAATATGGGACATTTTTTCTTTAGGATTTTTATTTTATTTTTATTGGAAAGGTGGATATACAGAGCGGAGGAGAGACAGAGAGGAAGATCTTTCGTCCGATGATTCACTCCCCAAGTGACCACCAATAGCTGGAGCTGAGCCCAATCCGAAGCCAGGAGCCAGGAGCTTTTCCGGGTCTCCCATACAGGTGCAGTGTCCCAAAGCTTTGGGCGGAACTCGACTGCTTTCTCAGGCCACAACAGGGAGCTGGATGGGAAGTAGGGTCGCCACGATTAGAACCTGTGCCCATATGGGATCCCAGTGTGTGCAAGATGACGACTTTAGCCACTACGCTCTCGCGCCAGCCCTGGAATATTTATTTTTAAAATACAGACAGAAGGAGTTGATGCTTTGGCACAGGTACTAAGCCAGGGCTTATCGAATCAGCATCCCATATGAGCACTAGTTCAACCCTGATGCTTCCGTCCTGATCCATCTCCCTGCTAATGCACCTGCGGAAGCCCAAGTCCTTGGGCTCCTGCCTCTACACGAAAGACTTGGAAGAAGTTTCTGATTCCTGACTTCGGTGAAAGACTGCCTCGGTACAGCAGCCGTTTGTGGAATGAACCTGAAGATGGGAGATTTCTCTCTTTCTACATCTCTTTCTCTGTAACTGCCTTTTAAATAAGTAAATAAAATTTTCTGAAAGGACAGAAACATAAATTCATATACCTCTTCTGTTAAACATATAATGTTATGTTAACAGGTATTTACATATTCAAAAAAGTATATTTATATAAAGTTGTACCTAATATTGTTCTATTGTTTTCTAAAATTTGGTATAGTTCAAAGTACAATTGCATTGTTTGACCAATCCCATGTAAGCAATTCACTTTGCCAACAGTTGAGTGAATTATGGGCAATTTAATTTCTAAAA